TTATCATATTTAAAAATAGAAAAAAACTAAGTTTTATCGCGGTATTTGTCGATAAATCGGTAATCGCTACAGAAAAACAGAACAAATTACAGTAAATCACAACAAACTACAGAAGCGGAAGTGGGACACTTTTTGTATTTTCACTGTAAGTAATCATACTTTTCTTTCTTTTATGGGAGAATCTTAAAAGATTCTCCCATATTCCTCCCATGAAAATATTCCTCCATCCTCTTGCTAGAGTAAATGTTTCTCAGGATCCCAAGATCCCACATTTTTCCAGGTTTGCCGATTTGCCGTTCAGCGACGATCCACTGTACGACCGCGTATTCACGTAGAAATTTCACAACTTGTCAACAAGATGTGTTAATTCGTAACAGGCTTGTAGCAAGCTTGTTAGCAAGTTGTAACAATGCTGTTATTTTATCAAGTTGCTACAAGGTTGTCACTCAAATTGTTGAATTGCAGGACGATAACAAGCTGTTGGAACAACTTGTAACAAGTCTGTTGAGCTCAAAAACCTTCTAGCAAGTTGTCAACAAGCCGTTGACAACTTGTGAACAAGCCGGGAACAAGCAGTGCAAACACATCTTGTTGACAAGTTGTTGGAACAGCATTGCTACAAGTCTGCTGCAGGTTTGTTACAATTTGTGCGTTTTTACGTGTGTATTCCATGGTCTCCTTATTGTTTTCCAAACCCCACTGACCTCCACGCCACCCATTCACCCTCTGTTGTTATATATTTTAGTTATTCTACAATTTGCATTTTTTCACCGATATTCAATTCCACTTTTCTGTATAGCCATGGCAGACTCTGATACGGTGAAAGCACTTCTCTACGCTTGCTTGGCTTTCGTTGGCTTTCTAATAACCGTCACAATATTTTTCATTTACACATTGGTATTTCGTGTCAAGCGACAATTCGTTTACCACATCAGTGTTTCTGATAGTACTACACATCCGTATAGTACTAGGGAACAAAGAGGAACGGAGAGCTCAGCCACCACAGGACTTCCTGAAACCATAGAAAACCAAGGAAACGCAGATGATGATAGAGATACAGACAGTTTAACCCGGAACCTATCGTTCAGGAATTTCGAAAGACCAGTGCAGCCAATTAACACTGCGCACCAAGAAAGCATTGAAAACCAGGTCACTTCCAAGTATCCAGAAACCATAGAACACCCACAGATCACCTTGAACGAAGGACGCACAGATGATGGTAAAGATACGGATAGTTTAACCCGGAACATATCGCTCAGGAATGTCGAAAGACCAGAGCAGTCAGTTGACACTGCCTACCAAGAAAACGTCGAAGCAACCATCGAGAACCAGGTTATGATCATGCACTCGGAAGCCATAGAACACCCTGTACAGACTACCGAGAACATAGGTACCATGGATGATGATAAAGATTCGGACATTTTATCCCGAGGACGACTGTCGTTCACCACCTTCGAAAGACTCATTGAATATGCAGGTACTGAAGTCTCGGAAACCACAGACCATCCAGAAACCACAGGATATCTGGGGATCCAAGGAAACGCAGGTACTTCAGGTACCACCACGTATATGGACAGTCTCACCCATGCGGGACAACCAGCTACAGAAGATCACTCCGGAAACCTGGAAACCATCACTGAAAATTACGCAGGAATTCCAAATGCCGATGACTACACTAACCCTACCGATTATACTAGAGATGACTCCAAAAATACGTACAGTCTAACCCCGGGAATATTGATCAACAACCATCAACGAGCTACGACAGGGCATCCACCAACCTCGGGAAAGCTAAACACCAATGCAAACGCCGAAATTACAGAAAATGAAGATAGCAATAATAACAACGATAATATTTCTGCGATTTCGTCCAGCAACACAGAGAAACAAGTCAGTTTCTCCGGGAATGATTCGACCTACATTGTCCAAAGAAAAGAAAAGACCGTACAGCTGATACAATATGATGAAACATCAAATTTTGAATTTGTTAAATTTGCTAGGCAGCATCAAAAGAAAACATAGCCATTGGAACTTGTATAATATATCACAGAGATTCTACGTAGCTAACACGTTGACAGAATGAAAACGAATGACAGATTTGAATAACGATATATATAAGGCAGTAAATAAAAATAAATCCATAAGCATATAGGATTTGTAACGTTATCAGGAAATTAATTTTGATTTGACGTTGTCCTGATCGTTCAGTCTAAAAAAGACAGTTGAACACATAAGATTTGATGAGACGTCAGTTTTGAATGCTAAATTTATTAAGCAACAGCAAAACAATAGTTAGCAAATAGCAATAACTACTTCTCGTCGAAAGATTATTGCCATATATAAAGCGGAAAACAATTAAGTTGCTAAGAAAACCGTTGAAAGGGCAACAATGGCATTGTAAAGTGTAGTGGGGACATTTCTTGGATAATTTCCTGGATTTTGGAATTGGGGAGCCCACCAACTCAGTCTCCGAGATAACTGCAACACATGAATATTGTGAACAAGAATGTAGGAACAAATTTCGTAATTTAATTTTCAATAACCATTAGTTTAAAACAGGTCATACAGAAGTGCATGGCAATGTATTACTACCAAAATAGACGTTTGAGGATCAGCATCGTCGGAACTCATTTTATTTCCTATGGATTAAGTTCAGATATAAACAAGGATAAATTGACAAGGTATTACTTTCGCATGCCATGTTCATGGCAGCATGCATGGCATTTCCAAATCATTAAGCAAGCTTTGCCTTATAAATATTTAATCATGCATCCATTTTGTAGTTTGTACTGCACTGTATATTGTTGAGTTTCTTCTTAGATATTTAGTATATATAGTTGCCATTTGTAATCGGTCATATCTAGTCGATCACAATATTTATAATCTGTCACAGCTTTGCCATTACAAAAATACGGACGAATATCAGCAACAAGTTAACCTATTATATAGGTTTGAATGACAGCTGTTTTTAAATTGAAATCTTCAAACGAAGACGCAGCAACTCTTTAAAAATTTATATATTCTTAATTAAACGTTCGGCAATTCTTATTAATTTATTGAAGCACTCATTATGCTTGTGAGTTTGAAATTATTATGCCAACACATCCGTGAAGCATTCATTATGCTTGTGAGTTTGAAATTATTTTGCTAACACATCCGTGAAGCATTCAGGTGGTTGCGTTCATGGTCATACTAATAGGGG